AAAATATTTTTGAAAACAATAATTTTTTAATGGCAAGAAGAAAAAGCCTCCCACCCCACTTTCCGTCATCTTCCTCACCTCAACTAGGTTTTCAATGCCAACTGCTTTGGATCTTAAAAAAGGAAAGAAGAAAGAAGATTTTTGGATATTAGAGTTAAAAATTTAGCCGATAGCTCCATTTTCGCCTACCTTCAAACAAACACTGTCACTCAAATTAAAATGCAAACCCATTAAACTTGTAAAAAATAATATCAAATAATTTGAAAATTAATTTGGGTCCTCTTGATTTTTCTTTTGCAATCGATTTTGAATTAATTATCTTCAACAAACTCGGCTTCTTCATCACTCTTGTGCGTGTCTCTCTCTATATATCTCTTTTATGTATTAGGTAAGAAAAATATCTTTTTAAAACAACTGAATCGATAAGTAATTTGATAAGATATTGAATTTTGTGGTTTGGGAAATGAACGTTGTAGGGAAGAAGAAGAAGAAAGGGGGTGGGGTAGCATGGGGCTGGATAGTATGTGAAATTATTTCCAATATTTTATATATAAGAAAAAACGATTGAAAATGTATTTGAAATAAATTTTATTTTTTAAAATTTAAAAATCATTTTCTATAGTTTTTGGGGCCCACTTGTCACATGTCATCTTTTTATTAATCATTTTATCATGTCATCAAGAGTGTATCACACACACTTTGTCACTTTATATATTATTGCTGATTATCGAAAAATATCTAATAGGAACAAGGTTTAAATAGATAAAATTGTTTAATACTCCCTCCGTCTCTTTTTAGTTGTCCACTTTAGAAATGGCACACAGATTAAGGCAACAATGATTAGCACAGTGAAGTTACAATTTTACCCTTATGACAACTTTTCACTTCAAAATTACAACCACTTATTTGAATTCAAGTGAAATAAATTGGAGGGAAACAAAATACACTTTTACAATTTTCAAGAAGTGTAAATAAGGGTATAATAGGAAAAAATTTGTTGTCCTTTCTTGATTTGTCAAAATGGACAACTAAATAGGGACAACCAAAAAAGGAAATATGGACAAGTAAATAGGGACGGAGGGAGTAGATATTAGCCTTAGTTGAGGTGTCTAAGTGAATTATGCGGACAACTTTAAGGGGTCACAGATTGACCTACGCCTTTAATTAAAGTAATTTTATAGTGCTTTTGTACTTTTGGTATTTATCTTGATTGTACGGCCAAAGTTGCCGGAAACACATCTTCTTTATTGGCGTAATATTATAATAATAATAATATAGTGAAGTTTAATTAAGATGATGTGATTTTAGAGTAATTTTCCTAGATAGTCACCCATGTTTGAAAAATTATCTAGGAATATCACTTATGTTTGTTTTAGGACCACAAATATCATTCAACTTTACCTCTTTTCCTCAAAATATAATTGACACAAAAAAAATATTATATCTCTCCAAATAAGATGCCATGTCACATTATTCTTTTTTTATTATTAACATTTTTTTAATTCCTTTTTTATTATTAACATTTTTAAAATTCTTTAAAAACATTATATCCTTTGTAGTTTGACAATATGGTTACCTTATTACTCTAATGAAATAAAATATCAACAAAAAGGGAGTTCGAAGCTAAAAGGGTCATTTTATTCCTTCAAAAAAAAAAAGGGCACATCAAAAAAAAAATTAACCAAAAAGGCAAAATCTCTCTTGACGGATCGATTTTCTTCTGACAAAAATTGACGCCGTTCCGTTAAAAGAAATAAAAATTGCTGCATTTGACAACGATTTTCTCAAAAAAATTAAATCATTATTTCTTTAAAATCGCTGCTATAGCAGCATTTTTATAAAAAAAAATTAAAAGTGAAATCGCTGCTATAGCAGCTATTTTTTGTTGAGGAATTAAAAATAAACATAAAGAACAAGTTTTAAATTACATAAATTTCCGGCGACAGCCATTTAACAAAAAAAACAAGTTTTTTAAAGAAAAAATCGCTGCCGAAGCAGCGATTTTTTAGTGTTTTTTTTTTTATTTTCATTTAAATCGCTGAAAGGGTAAAGATTTTTAAAAAAAGCTTTTTATGAAAATCGCTGGCTTCAGTTTTAATTTTTTTTAAATTCTCTGCAAGGGTAGGATTATTTTTTTTTAAAATAATAATTTCTTAAACAAAATCGCTTTAACTTCAAAACTTTTTTTTTAATTTCTTAAACAAAATCGCTGCTATAAACGCTGTTATAGCAGCGATTTTAAAGAAAAAATATTTTTTTGAGAAAATCGGCAGCGATTTTTATTTCTTTTAGCGGAGCGGTGTCAATTTTTGTCAGAACAAAATTGCTCCGTCAGGAGCAATTTTGCCCTTTTGGTTAATTTTTTTTTTGATGTGCTGTTTTTGTTTTTTAAAGAAAAAAAGTTGCACTTTTGACTCCGAACTCAACAAAAAGGTGCCATTGCCCAGTAGTGCCCATATAAAAACATTATCTCGCTTGAAAAATCGGAGGAAGCCACATATTTTCTTGAAAAATCGGAGGAGCTCATATTTGGATTTGCCGCCTAATCCCTTAGAACTAGGATAGAAATTTTTGGGCAATGTAATTTTTTTTTACTAGGTTATATGGGTTGTCTAAATTTTTTTTAAAAAAAAGTTAATAATGAAAATGGAATAATGTGACATGGCATCCTATTAGGAGAGAGATAATGTTTTTTTTGTGTAAGTATATTTTGAGAAAAAGAGGTAAAGTTGGGTGATATTGTGGTCCTAAAACAAACATAAGTGATATTCCAAGGTAATTTCCCAAACATGGGTGACTATCCAGGAAAATTACTCCTAATGTTGGTTTTTACTTATATGGAGATAAAAAGAAAATGTAAGTTAAAAGGAACAAAGTACAATTTTAATAGGAGAAGTGTGCATAAAGTTCAAACAAAAATTTCAGTTGATATGAACGTGATAAAAAATTTAAAGTCACGAGGAACAAACTATAGATTAGGCCACAAACATTGACAAGAAATAAAATTGATTCAATAATGCATATTGTCATGCTACAATATCAAAATTTGATCAGACTTTAGATCATCTTAATTAGTGATCTATTGAAGTTTATATGCTCTTATGAGTGGTGAGTTGCGAATTAGTGAATTTTAATAGTTTAATTAGTTAATTGTCTGGACTTTTTTTAATAACAGTTTTGATTCTCCATCTGTTAATCTTTCTCATTTTCTTTTACTTACCCTAATTAATTCTTCTTCTCTTTTTTTATAACAAAAAGAGTTCGAACTATGGCCAATAACGGTTATTGATGAATTATTAGAACCTTAAGAACAAAGTTTTTCCTTTGCCTATCACTCTATAGGGACCAAACAATCATCATTATTACTCATATTATGCTAATTATTGCAAAAATGGGCGGAGGTAGAGTGCTGAGTCTATAAGTTTGGCCAAATTTAATACTCACCCCCATTCAATTTTACTTGTTATACTTTGAATCGACACATTTATTAAGAAAATAATTATTGAAATTTGTATTTTACCAAACTATCTCTATTAAATGATGTCTTGAAAAGTGATTTTGAAAATAGTATTTTTCCCGTTCTTTTTTATATATCATCCTTACTATAAATAATTGGTCCATAATACTTGTTATTTCATAAAATCAATGCATAAATTATAATATTCTTCCTATTTTACCCTTGTGAGTTATTAGCCTTGAAAATATACATTTGACCAACATAGAAAAACTAAGTGAATAATTCATGTTCATTCGTAAAATTAATTAATCAAAATAAATTAATTCATATTCATTGATTGAAAAGTTGACTTAAAAAAATTAAATAAGGATAGAATGGTAAACTTACTTTATTTCTTAATGCATGTGAATAAAAAATAGTGGCATATAAATAGGAATGGAGGGAGTAAGTATTTAATATTGAGGGTAAAACATGAATTTTTTTTTATGATATGTCAAAAGTGACAAGTAAAAAAAAAATCTATTTTAGAAATAATGAGCGGAGGGAATACTTTTTCAGTTCACTTTTCCTTGTCACTTATTCCTAAAATAGATTTTCATTTTTACTTGTCACTTTTGACATATTATAAAAAAAAACAATTATTTCTTTTCATGTTTTATCATCAGCATTAAATACTTAAGCTTCAATAGAGATAATTGGCAAAATACCTATATAATTAATTAGTTTTCCCTTTTGGGATATTTTTTTTCCCTTTATGAAATAAGCGTATTATTAGCCTGTCCAAAACACAATAGATTGGGCAAATTTTGCCACCTCCGCTGAAATGACTAAAAAGATTTTTTCTCCACCGTTACTATTTCCAGTATTTAGGTCCCCACAAGATTATTATGTAAATGGAAAAATGAACTGGACTTCCAATAAGCCACTGGCAAAGGTCCAATTCCAAAGAGGATGAAAATCCTATTTGAAGAAGCCCAAAAACCAACTTCAAAAGAAGGCAACGAGCAAGAGGAAAGTCCTCACATAACTCATGTATCATTTGATATGTACCGACGAAAGAGAAAGAGTAATGTATTCGTGAGTTTTGAAAAAATCGGGATTATTAGAATTTGAAAAACTTTCAGGATATAATGTAACTTAGCACCCAAACAATTGGAGTTTCTGTAATTTGTATTCTGGGAAAGCATGAATAATTCAACTAATAAGATTTGATACTAAGTAGTTCCCACGTAATCAAATAAAGTAAGCAAACATGCAGAATGGATGTTCCAAATTCCAATATACTATTATTCTAGTCATATAATAATGGGTAGTTCAAAAGGTTCCATTATAGTGCAGAACATGACCTAATTCATCCATGTATAATGTAGTTAGATGCTGTGTTAGTTAGAGGTTGGTAGTAGACGTATAGAGATACTATGCACAAGATGGTTCATATATCGCTAATTCCCGACCCAATTAAGTAATAACATGAGCATTTTTGGATTAAAGTATTAACAGTCGGAATGTATTGAATATATATAATTGTCACTGGGATAGAGCTTAATCCATTATCTTTTTCACCAACTATACCAATAAGGCATAATAATTGAATTTGCAACAAACAAATTGTCAACTCTATATTGTTTGTAGAAATATAAAGGTAGCAGCACAACATTCTATTAGACAGATGTTTCTCATAAAAACAGAACATAATATGGAAAAGATTAGCAGTTTGAAACACTTATTTGTGACAGTGTTTCTCTCAAATTTTGCTTTTAATGTGGTGACTCCAGCAATTACTGATATCACTATGGATGCAATTTGTCCTTCTCAAGACAAGTGCTCTCTTGCTATTTATCTTTCTGGTTTCCAACAAGCTGTAAGTACACCACACCAATTCTTCTATTTTCATTAATATTGAAAAATATATATGATTAATTCGTGATGATTGATTGCAGATTATGGGATTGGGATCAATGTTGCTGATGCCCCTAATTGGAAATCTATCTGATGTATATGGAAGGAAAGCTTTGCTCACAATTCCCGTCACACTCTTGATTTTTCCTTCAGGTAAATCTTCTCTGAAATTCAAATTAAAAAACAATAAATTATGCCCTATCAAAATATATTTTTGAACAAACAACTAATAGTACCTGTTTTTTTTTTTTTTTCGATTTTTCAAGTAATAATGGCGTACAGGAGGACAACAAACTATTTTTATGCTTACTATGTGATAAGGACCTTGACTGGCATGATCAGTGATACTGGCATTCAATGCATCCCCATTGCTTATGCGGTAATATTTGAGCCTAATTTTAGCTCACTTTATATTCACTTAAATTTGATCAAATCTAAATTTTGAATCAGGCTGATTGCATGTCAGAGGAGAATCGCGCTTCTGCTATCGCAACTGTGGCGGGTGTAGGCTCTGCTGCATTTTTATGCTCTACCTTTGTTGTTCGTTTCCTCTCGACTGCACAAATATTTCTGGTTTGGTTTCACTCTTATTATAATGACTAGTTATGACTAATTAATAACTTTTGCTCTTTAGTAAGTGTTATACTAATTTAATTGGAATGAAGGTGTCATCAATTTCTTCATCAGCCGCGGTATTATACATGACAATATTCCTAAAGGACACAACTCGTCACATTAATAAGATCAACTACGATGCTCTGAATCAACCCATATTAGCCAACGACGATAATAAATCTGAAAGTGACTCCTCAGAGGGAACAACGCCCAGTCCTATAAATATTCCATCATTTTACCATATTATTTGCTTGCTCAAGAGTAGGTAATATGGCTGGCCTAAATTATACCCACAAATTACTATGCTACCTTTTCTTTTTCTTATTTATTCAAATTCAATCATTTGGTAGTTAAAAATAATTCAACCTAAACACATGGGAAGAGTGCCTAATTTCTTTTTTTTTTTTAAAAAAGAAAAGACTTTCGTTATGCAGTAATAAATGATAAAGCTTACCACCGTCTTTTGGTATCTTATGAATTATGATATTGTTGTTGAAAAAGTTATAAAGTTTTCATTAAACTTTAAATTATGGTATATAATGCTAAAGAATAATGATATTGCTGTTGAAAAAGACACAAAGTTGTATGCTGTTACTTGTTTATGTACTAATGGTCTATGGCTATTTTATCTCCTAAAAAGTTTGAAAAAGACTGCACAAATGGCACTCAAAATGTATTGGCTTTTAATCTTTTTATTTTAACAACTAGAAACTAAAGTCAGAAAGAACAACTTGAAAGATATTATGATATATATATATATATATTTATTTATTTATTTCCCTTGATTTTTTGTTTTTGTTACTACAAACATATTATTAGTTAGGCCCATCATGGATTATATGTTGCTTGTTTCTTCAAAATATTTAAATAAAAAAATCGATTAATTAATCAACTGTAGCTTAATTCTAAATTAATTAAAGAGAAAATTTTATAATTGACATATATATAGAATAATTATTATTAGTTATGACATTATTTTTATATTTTTAAATTGATGACTATAGTAGAAATTAAATTAAAGTGTATATATCTATAAAATTGAGAAAGAAAAGAAATAAACACGCAACTTTTCACGAATTTAACAAAGTATTAATTTACTTGTGGATTTTTCTCATATTCATTTAATTAAAATTTTATTTTTGCAGTACCACACTTTTATTGGCAACATTTATTTCATTCTTATATGGTCTTGGTGAGGGTGGAATACAAACCCCCTTTTTGGTAACTCTAGCTCTCTAAAATTGTCGATTGAATATATAATTTAATTAATTACCTTACAACTAACATTTTTTTTGTATTATTATTTTGTAGTACTTCTTAAGGGCTCGATTTCAATACAACAAAGACAATTTTTCTATTCTAATGCTTATTTGTTACGGTGGGACTACATTTTCTCAAGTACATGTTCAAACTTATTCTTCCTTTTTTTTTTTTTTTAATTTCAACTTAATTAATTTCATGTACTAAGTTTTAATTGTTCTTATAATAATTTTGTATTTCCTTGTCAATTTTTTGGAGCAGTTAATCTTATTGCCTAAGTTGGCTCGTATAGTCAGAGAAGAGACAATACTTTCCTTGGCACTCATAGCTGGTTTTAGCAATGTATGTATCTTTTACGAATTCGTGTAGTTTCTTATTTTTTTCCTGAAATATATTTTCCTACATTTAAAAAAAAGAATATTTTCAATAGAAATGGACTTTTATCGTACCAAAGACACTCAAACTCAAATGATTATATAGTCTATCCAAACTAATTTGAATCTATGGAGTACAAGTAATTGATCGATATTTCTATTTATATTTTGCAGATGCTAATAGATAGCATTGCATGGGAAGCTTGGGTAAGCTAAAGCTATTTTCCAATTCAAAGATATCATTTTTTTTAAAAACATTTATCACAATTTTTCATGTTATATTTCAGGTTCCTTATGTAGTTGCTTTGTTTCCTATGTTTCTCTTCCTAGCAAAACCAGCTGTAAGTTTTCTCTTGTATGATTTCAAAAAAAGAAGAGTTGATTAGTTGATGATTGATTTTATCATATAGTTGAATATTAATGATACATGTTTTATCTATTTTAGTTACAAAGCATTGTTTCAAAACAAGTTGGGCCAAACGAACAGGTAATCAACATATATATGTATTATTGTGGTATACGAGTTTAAACTTTTAGACATTAATATTATAAAAGAATTATACAAATATCAAATTACTTAAAAGATAATTTAACTATTCACATAAGTGGAATTAGTAACCAGAAAAATAAGACAAAGTAACCTGCTACAACACGTTAGTATACATATGATTTTTTTTTTCTTTCAACTTGATAGGGAATTGCTCAAGGGTGCATTTCTGGCGTAAGCTCCTTTGCAAACATTCTCTCTCCATTTATATTTAGTCCTTTGACAGGTAATTAAGTTGTTGTTCAACGATATTAAATTAATTTTATCTGAATATTTAATATTTGATGTCAAACTAACAATATTCAATTCATATGTTTATAGATCTTTTCTTATCTGAGAGAGCTCCATTTGATTACCCTGGTTTTAGTATGTTTTGCATCGGCCTTGCTTGGGTAAACAATTATACTTATTAATTTAGTTTAATATATGTTAACCATTTTCTTGTTCGTTTTAACTCTGATTCTTTATTTAAGTGGTCTGACCGTGTAAATATTGATACATTAGTATTGCGCAACATTAAGGATGATTTCGTCAAATATTTTGTGCAGTTGTTAGCAATTATACCTAGCATGATGATAAGCTGGTTTGGTACCTCTAATTCAAGACACATAATCAGGGATGTCCTTTGCTAGGAGGTTTGAAGGAAAATAATTCAACAAACTATATTAATTTGTATATCTAAAATCCATTTTATACACTCAATTTCCAAAATGATATATTTTGTAGGATTGTTTTTGTGTTCATAGTAATTTTATGAGTGAGATCTGAGAAAATGTGATGTGTACAATCTTACTCCTACCTTTGTACAGATAGATAGAGAGGTGAAAAATATCCAAAATTTCCTTCGAGTAACATCATTTGACATTTGATCAATACTCCAAGTCAACCAAAGATTATTTACTAGTAAGTAGTATTTTATTCATTCACAAGCATCTGGGGAAAAAGTCAACTTCCACATTTCAAGATCAAATGTCAATCCTAAAGTTTGTAACATATTAGCACCTATTACAGACCTCTTACGACCTGAACTTTGAAACCCCAAACAATATTTTTTCCTATATAGTATCATCACTTGTTGTTGTTTCACTACAAGAGGTATTACACTAGCTTTAAAATAAAACTTCACAACTGGAAAATTGTCCCAATTAACAAATTCACCAGCCATATAACAAGTATCAAATGAAGTTGGTGAACTTGGATCCAATTGCATATTTTTAACTTCTGACATAAATATGTCCCTAAATTTGACATAAACATCATCAGGAAATGAGGTAACATAGGCTCCTGTATCAACAAATATGCCACCATATTTATCTGGCCCCAAATCCCAATGAGATGGATCAATAGGAACTTCCCTATTATTAATCATAATTTTTTCCAAGTTCGATATGTAGTAAAATGAAGGAAACTTGTCGTTCCTCATCAGCGTTGCCGTTACACCTGTTGTCAAAATTACTTCCAAAGTTTTTTTTAGTTTCTTAAACTACGTGTTAAGTTAAAAAAAGAGACAAAAGGAGGGAATATTATACTGACCTGTTTTCCATGGGGTTTCGTGAAAAGTAAGTGTAGAGGACTTCCCTGAAGTTGGAGTAGGAATGCAAAAAGCAAATACAATTGCACCAACTTGTGATGGTAATGAATATGTCTCAAATCCATTTGTATATAAACCACCACCAACACCAGCAATTCCACTAAATAATCTTGGGAATTTTGTATCCCCCTTAAATTGATTTTTTCCACAACCAAATATAATTCTTGCATAATCTAGTATATTAGAAAATGTTATGATTTCATAAGCCATAAATCCAGAAGTAATTGTACTTCCATGATATCCATATCTTACTTCATAAAAACATTTTGTTTCTTCTTTAGAGCAATGAACTCTACTACGTCCCTCGACACAACTTGCACTCTCTTTGACACAATTAATTTGTTCGAAAGTAGTGGATTCAGTTGAATAATATAATTCATCGTTCCTTTGTTTGTAACATTTTTTTGGTTCACATGGACCACATTGCCACCAAACGTGACGACTTCCAGTATCAACAAGTAAAAGTTCACGTCGTAATTTAGAGCCAATCCAAAGGGGGACTACAACTTCACCATGTAAAGGATAGATTACTGTTTTTATAGGGTTAACTTGTGCAAAATGTCTACTACTAGTAGAATTTTGATCATATGAAAATAAATTCACTGATCTCTCCATGCATCGAGCAAGACGAGCATCGAGTAATGAGTCATAATCCTTGAAGTCTGATTTTTCAAATACATCGCGATGGTAAATGGGAAGACTGTAAGAATATGGTGAATGATAAGAAAGATTAGAGGTATCAAGAGACATGAAATTTTTTCTGGCTTGCAAAATGGATGTGTAATTGAGAGAAAGATGAAAGTTTACATTTGTTGAAACTGAGATGTTTGAGAATAGGACAAGTAATAGTGTCACATAGAGGAAATTTTCCATGTTTGAAACTTTTTTTTTTTGGTTGTATATTATGTGCTTAATTTGTTAGCAGTTATATAGAGAAATATTTTTTTTTTGATTTGCTTGTATTAATTCTATTAAATCTCCTAAACTAGGAAAACATTGATAGAGAGGATAATGCCAAAACTTATATAGTTAACTAATAAGAGTTTGATCCTTTTTCATTCTTTTTGAAATCTGATGAAAGGAGTAAGTTAGGGAAAAAAATTAATGAAAATATAAATGATACATTTATAATAGGGATTCTTACAAAAGAAAATATCCATTCTAATACAATTAATTGGAATAAGAAGCCGTACAAAAAATATAAGTACATTCTAATACGTACAAATAATAATTACATCTACATAGCATATATTTTGCATTCACCCGTACGACTCTTTATTTTGTTGCAATAGTGCTAATACAACATTATACAATTACAGTACACAATATATAAATATAAATTTATATAGAAGTGTATAAGAGATGCATATACACACTTTTGAAATGTAAATGCCAATTTATACGAACATATACAAAATTGTGCTTGGTCTCCTATGGACTTCTTCAACATTTGAAATGGGTCCATTTCTTCTCGAATTACTTCAAATTTTGAACTACAACTAAAATTGAAATGACACCTCAACAAACCACAATCATCATTTTGTAAAAAAAAAATAATTCAAAACCAATTTGTGAGTTTTCAAGCTTTTAAGAACTCCAACAATAATGAAGCAAGATGAGCATTGAGTAATGAGTTAGTCCTTAAATTCCGATTTTCAAATATATCCGATGGTAAAGAGGAACATTATAAGAAGATGAATGATAATAAATTTCCCATGTTTGAAACTTTGATTGCACATTATGTGCTTTATTTTTTTTAGCAGTTATATAAACTAATAATTTCTTCAGATTTGCTTATATTAATTCCATCTATGAATTATAAAGGCTCACAGCAAAGCTCTTACCCATTGTTTTTCTTTTCAACACGAGGCGGCATAGCACATTTAGTTTTTCTATTAACAGAGTACATAATTAAACAAAAAACTAACTTCTTTCATGTCAAGTTGGTTGACTGGTGAAAGTTCGGCTCCCCACCAAGTATAATCCTCATCTTTCAAAGAGCGAAGATTAAACCTGAAAAGGGTAAAAACACTGTAGCCCCATCCCCTCTAAGCACAAATATAAACATGAAACTGGATCAAATCTCTCCAATCAATAAGAAAAAAAGTTTAAAAGAGAGATATCGAGATGTTCTTCTAATACTTAACACACCATCCCAGCAGTAAAATTCCGTAGATGTATGAAAAATATCTTATTTGTCATATTAAGTAAATTAATAGTTTTCTGAGGAATACACTGCGTTAGCGCTTGTGTGCAGCATATTCCATCGTAGCATAATCCAAGGAATAGACAACAATTGATACCGGCTCAATTAAAAAGAAACTTGCAAAGTAAAAACAAATATCAAAAGTTAAAAGATTTTGATTTATTCAGTATCTTATATATGTACACTTCCTAAACATGTATTGAATTAAAGTTGCAACCAAACCACTCAGTCAAAAGAGTCTTGACCACCTGTAGTATCTTCACCATCATCAGAAGAATTATCACTATTTGCATTAAATGTCAAAATGAGTTGCAGAAGCTCCCTTCCAACCTCTGAATTTTCTTCAATGCTCCCCAGGTTTGTTCTTTGTCTTTGCTGGGAAAGCAATTGCAACATTAGGTCCTCTGGAGAAGCCATGTGATGCATCCAGCCCCTTGCTTTAGGTCTCTGCTGGAAACACAAAGTGCAAAATCATCAGCACATGTAACAGGCATAATATCATCTTTCACGAGAAGTAACATAATCCATGTTACTGTTGCAACATCATCATTCATCAATGTCATTTTCATTGGAGTCATCATCATCACAGCATGAATCACTAGGAGCATCTTGGTCATTATCTGAGGAATCGTCAAAATCAGGGTCCCCAACAGTTTCAAAGAACTCAACACCATTTCCATCTTCGTGTGTATCTAAAAAATCAAAACCATCATCATCGTTGTCGTCGTCATCATCATCATCACTATCGTCGTCATCGTCATCATCATTATCATCCATACCATCGGAGAAATCTTCATCATCTTCATCCATATCACTATCATCTTCATCCTCATTGTCACTACTACCACCATACTCATCGTCACTTCCGGTACCAAAGAAGTAGATGCCATTATCTTCCGCACCGCCATAATTGAATAAATGAAATTGATGAGGTGTTGAACCCTTAATTAATAGAAATATTGGCAGTTAAATAGAGCTACTTATGCTTCCATAAGATCAATTGCACAGATTTGCGATCTAATATCAGTTTCTTGGATAATATCCTTACCACATGCATGAAATTTATCACACCCAAGAAAGGGATCAGGACCACAATAAGTAACAAACGACTGTGTCAGTTCAAGATAGACCTTTTTTGGGATATTTGACTCTACAGTGGGACACGGTTAAGGTATTAACAAAAATATACATGTTCCAAGTTTTTTCTATGACATACAAAATGTCAATATAAGAGTGATGGCATAAAGATAATGATGGAACAATGCACACATATGGATCAGGACTACACACCAGAAATACGACAAATTAGCTAGTGGAATAAAATAAATAAGGAAAACAATCTTTCTTTCCCAGCTCCACTGATGACTGAACTACCCAAATCTTTTTAAAATTTCTGGTTTCCAGATTCACCTGATCCTGCTTCGCCTTTCTTAAATACTTTCCAAGTACCTTTACTTAGGTTCTTTTCTTCTTTTTTCCCCAAGTAAGACAAGATCATTTCGCAGTAAGATACTTCAGTGAAATCACATATATCTTGTTCTTTTTTCCGGTTAAAGGAGACCTCATTTACTTTTGTGGCTTTCTTTTCATGATAAGGAGATAAATTCTAGTAACGTTGCAGGAAAATTCCCAGAGTACAAGGGTTGAAAACAGCCTTACATTCATCTCTTATTAGAATGATCAGAACGAGATGGTAATAAGTGTCTTAGTTCAATGCTTTGACACCTTTACAGTCAAGTTTGTGGGTAAAATCCAATTCGTTTATAACTTAGGTTCAATGCACTTAATGAATGTCTTATATTTAATCATTTAGATCTCATTCATTAAGTCGGTTTGTTTTCAAAGTCTAAATCTTAATTATTCAGATCTTGCAGCCTGTTTGGCATTGTTGCTGGGAGGCCAAAAACACTTATTTTGAGAAAAAACACTTTTTTTTTGAAAAATTAAGCATTTGGTAAATCAATATAAGTGCTTTTAAATGGAAGCAAAAGAAGTTTTTTCTATTGTAGGAAAGATGCTAAAAAATTCTCTCTTGAAAAAAGCAGAAACACAAAGAGAATTTTTTTTATTCAAGACTAAAATATCCCTTCAATACATACATATTTACCAATATATCTCTTATTAATTAATTAACACATTTAAAGTTTTTATTTTATTTTTATATAATAAACTTTTTATTTTAATTTACGTTTATATATTATTATTTTACGTATTATTTTGCAAAACTAGAAAAAAAGGTAACAACAATATTTTTGCAAGATTAGAAAGAAAAATAAAAGAACAATCAAAGATTTCAACCCTTCTAAAAAAAGGTATAATTTTGATTGAAAATTGAATATGTACATTCTAATTTAATAAAAATAAAAATGTATTAAAAATTTTAAAATAGATATTTAAAATATTTTCTCTCTATAAAATAATCTTAATATTAAAAAAGTACATTAAAACTTATCCTTTTTTGTAATTTGACTCTCAAAAACACTTTTTGAAAAAGATTAATCAAACGTAATTTGTTTATGAAAAAACACTTTTCAAATGAATTAACCAAACACAAATTGTTTTTTTTCAAAAGCACTTTTAAGAAAAGTCATTTTTTAAAAGTGTTTCTACAAATAAGCAGTTTTAACAGCAATGTCAAACAAACTCTTAATCTATAACAAAGTCTTAGGGGGTGTTTGGATGGGCTTTTTAAAAGTGACTTGTAAGCCCAACTTTTGACTTTTCACCTTTTTTGGTACTTTTTAAGCCTTAAGAAGTGCTTAAAAACACTCTTTGAGTTACCCAAACACTTCCCACCACCATTAATCACCATCACCACCTACCATCCCACAACCACTATCCTCAGCCCAACCACAACCACCACTAGCCTCAATCACCAAAACCAATCATCATCACCATTAGCCATCATTTGCAATCATTACGACCAATCATTATTACATCCACTAATCACAACCGATAATTACTATCATTGGTCGACATTATATATCGTTAACCGTTATCATTA